TTCACCGTACACGGTTTACCATTCTTAATCAATCGAAAGCCAAGTGTTCACTTGCAAAATTATAAAAAAAAATTACTATCAAAAACCAAGTGTTTACTTGCATACTCATTCAAAGTCTTCTCTAAAACAGACTTCTTCTNTTTGTTATNTCGCCGCTGTTGGCCACAGTGACGAACTCTTTACATCCCCAGTGGATAAAGCGCGCTATATAAATTCAGTGTTCATTGCTAGAGCGGACATGTTCACGGGAACATATCCGTAAACCAGAATGTTCAATTCAGAAACCCAGCACACAACAAATCAGTGGTCTAATTTCAGTGTTCATTGCTGGATTGGACTTGTTTACGGGAACATATCCGTAAATCAGAATGTTCAACTCAGAAACCCAGCATACAACAAATCGCTGGTCTAAATCTTATGTTCATTGCTGGAGCGGACTTGTTCACGGGAACATATCCGTAAACNAGAATGTTCATCTCAAAAACCCAACAACTTCGTTNNTCATTACGCAATAACGTNGTNGTTTTNGGAGCGGGCGTGTCGATGCAGACTCNTCTGTAAACCGAAATGATCATTAAAAAACCCAGTTAACTTATCACTGGTCCCAACAACGATATAGTTGATCTTTGGAAACAAACCAATCAACGACAGCCTGCCTCACAACAAGGATACGCATCATCCTAACTCAAATCGTTATCTCAAACAACGTAAGGCAAAAATGACGATAACTACGAACAAAATGATGAACACCATCCAAGTCGAATCAAATGCTAAGTCTGAAATCAAAAGTACGACAAAGTGCTAAAATAAAAATAAACTAAGGTTCGATCTCCTCAACGTCATTGACAATCTCAACGGCTTGATCAGAAGGAATCGCCGCCGCAGAGTTCAACGAGTTATCATCGCTTGACGAACTCGAAGAACTCNAATCTGAGTCAGCCACCTCTTCAACGGCATCAGCGTTCGAGTCCACAACTCGATCATCAGTCGTGCCAGCAGGCAAATCCTTAAGGATCCCTCCAAGTTCGCGCACATGCTNAGCAAATACCCNATCCGCGAGCGATAGGTCTGCCTCCTGCTTCACAAGGTCAACGAGCTCTTCACCGAGATCAGGCGCCTTGTCACTCTGAAGCAGCTTTATGAACTCAATGTTACTCCGGACTTCAGCAAGATCAATTATATCGATCCTCGGCTGGTCATTGATCATTTTGATCTTCTCTATGGCGCGATCGATCTTCGCCTCGTACCTTGCCATCAGCTCGCGCCTTGCTTCTTCTACAGCCCGCTGCACAGCCGTATCTTGAAGCTTGGCAGCAACATCTAATCGGGTGGTAAGGTCACAGACTTCCTTCTGAAGGCGCTTCCTCTCGGATTCAGACTCCGTGAACGTTCCATCCATCTCGCGACGTCTATCTTCGGTTTCCTTCATAGCAGCTTGGAGAGTAGCAACGCGATCCTCTGCATCCCTTTTCGGCTTCTTATGATCGTCACAAGCCTTCTGAACATTTGCAAGCTGACGAGTTAGCGAGCGCACAGTCACCTCATAGTCAATCGCGAGCTTGTTAAGCGAAGAAAGGAACTGCCAAACCAAGGAACAGATCACGGAAAACAAGTTACAAGATCAGGAAGAAGGAAAAGGCAAATCGCTATCTCACGAGAGTTGCCACGAAGTCGTACCGTCATACAATCGAAGGCCATGCTTGAGTAAGATCTCTTCTTCGACATCTCTCCTGGAGGAGGAAACTCAGTGCCTGGGAAGACAATCTGGGACAAATACGACGCCGCCCGCGCAGCATTACCAAAGGACTTCTTCGTACCAAAAGGAACAGTGGAAGTCGTCACCACACGATCACATCGAGGAGTTGAAGCGTGCCTCGATCTGTTCAAGTCCTCATTGCCACCGGATCTGGCCGTCTCAAGCTTGAACCACCTCAGAAACTCGCCGAGTAACATCGTCTC